GGGGGGTTGACTTATAGAAATTATCATTAAAAGATAGTCTAACACAAATGCAAACCTAAAATGGCATCTCTTGGTTTAAATAGGAGTAAAACGCAAAGATGTGAAGTGAAGAAATGAAGATTCTAATTAGATGGCCCTTCTTTGCTATTTCCAAAAATCGCTATATGAAGCAACTCTCGCACAGCCCCCTCAATAAGAAAAGAAAGAAACCCATTGAAAAGCTTTTTACATTCATGTGAATTTCAGAACCTGCAAGTTGAATTTAAAGGGCAGCACTTGGAGAAACAGGTTTGACTGGCTTCACTGAAATTCATTGCACAATTTATAAAATGACTAACAGTATAGGGTGAAACTGAATGAGACATACATATGACCAGATTTTCCCATACATTTTTACTTTAACGGCAACATTTACGTTTGTAAAAAAAACTGTTCCCATTAAAAAAGAATTATCCAAAAATTAAGAGAAGGTGTGATATTTTGATATCTTTGTTACCTAGTACACTGAAAACACCACCTGTTCCTTAAAGTCTAACAAATAGGCAGATCATTCCCATTTAAATAGTTTCATTAGCATGCCAGTTGCCAACAATCTTCAAAGCTAGATTCACACACTTTGCAAGTTGTTCGCCTAGATTTGGGTATTCACTTTACATTATTATTCATATATTTCATAGATATATACATGTGGATTGATAACAGAAAATATTTGGTACATGTTACCGTACTTTGAACCAAATTATTTGGGAACAGAATACTGTAACTATTTTCCCAGATTATTGCACAGATTTGTTCCACATGCTCCTCTAAGACAAACCCTCAGGATGCAATGATTCCACAAATCAAAGTTTGCCATTATGTGACAGAGGGATGGGCTTAGGTCTCCTTCTGTCCTTCATGTGACTCTTTTTTCCTAAATGAAATACTAATTTACAAGGAAGTTTGTAATTTACTTAAAAGTTTCAAGTGTAAATGACAGGATATGATTTGCCAAAAAGGGGGAACATGTGAGAAAGAAGGAAATCACCAGGACACAACCAAATTAAAGGGTTTGTTGCAGGATCCAATCTGAGTCTATCACTAGGACCAGAGGTTTATTCCTCAAAGTTTTTGGACTTGTGCTGGAGCCCATCATCAGGGAACTTCACTCTCTTCAGAATATGTGCATATTCTGGAGAGAGAGAGAAGTTCCCTGACGATGGGCTCCAGCCCGAAAGCTTGGAAGAACAAACTTTTGATACCAGTGACCGATTCAGATTAGATCCTGCAACATTATCCTGAGACACATATATTTACCTTCATTTGCTAAAATGTTTGTGTCTGAAACTAGCTATATTTCAACTCTATACTAAGTCTCACTAACCTCAATTTGTGCATCATGTCTTATGTGGAGACCTAAGATCACAGCTTTAAATTACAGTATTTTGTTGAACAGCACTTTCTGTGATTATTTGGGCCATCTCTAAATGCAGCGACAATAATTATTGGGTCATGCTAGTTCAAGGCACTGTAATCTCACCACTTCATATTCTATTACCACCTCTAAAGTCAACTACTGTCATGTACTTTAGGTGGAGCTACTTTTTGAAGACTACTTGGAAGCTGCAGTTGACATCTGCCTCTAAATGCTCATATCCAGAGACAACTATTACTCAATTGCAATCAGTATTTATCAATCAATTAACTATGCCTGAAAAAAAGCCCATGCTCAAAATCTAAACTTTTATGAACTCATCACTCTGGGATACAAAAGGTCTAGTTCACAAGCCAAAGCGTATCTCTTCATCTCAGCTAATTAAAGGGCTCTTAGAGAAATGCTAAATTTGAACTATAACAGTTATTAACAAGAAAGATCACTCAAAGCTAAGCACTTCTGGTTTCTCAACCTCAAAAAGGGATAAGAAAAAATTGTTTCCATGAGGAACAGAGTAAACCCACTGGAGAAACATTCCAATTAGACCAAACAGCTGAGTTCCTAGGAAAGATTAATATGTTTTATATGGCATTTGACCATTTCACTTAGCTGGAGGACACCTGTGCTCAGGTGCTGTGCTTAGATTTGCCCCAGGCCAACCCTAAGAACAGAGACTCCTTTTTAGAAGCATGCACAGTAATTTCTTTCTAGTGCATCAGTTTACAATACAATAGAGGCCTTTTAATCTATCCATTTATAAGGCAGTCTTTATTAATATGGAGTGGAGGGTTAGCCACAAAAGCCCTTTTTCTTCCTTAGCCAGTTACTCAGAAACTAGAGAGCACTGCACATAGAAAGTGAGATTACTATGTTCCTTTTCCTATCTAACCTCTCATAAACAGACAACTAAACTGGGAGGTCAAACAAATTTACAAACTACAATAGGTAGGCAATTATGCTAAAGCTTAATCCAAAAACAGCCCAATATTTGAACTGAGCTAATCAACCTAAAATTCCAAATCCAAAATGGCATTAAGTCAAGGCAAAGTAAATATATCAAGGTCAGCAGTATTTCAGGCAGCTATTTAGTGAAGCACATCAAAGATGAACCCATCTCTGACTCACATCCAGATGGTAAACTTTAGGTCCAGATTTCAAATCTCTGTTCTAATCATGCTGGACTGCATTCATTCAGCTCAGAATGTCAGTGTATTCCAGGAGCACAAAAACTGTCCAATTTCACATTCCTGATATATTTTAGCTCTCGGACATCTCACCTGGGGTTGATGATTTGGAGGATGCTCTGAGGAGTTCCAGTCAGAGCTGGGCCCACAAGAATTTTGTTAATGGAGGTCAAACCTTCCAGCCTAGTCCTGTTGGGCCACTGCTTATAGATTTTGTTCTCCAAGATCTTCCCTGTTCTTCCCTATCCTCTTGAGCATGAGAAAGGAGCTATGACATCCAGAATCCAAAGGCAGATTTGGATGGTTTGCTAGTATTTCTTTTCAGCCAATCAAACAAGTCCTTGAGTGAAAGGGTTACTTACCCGCTGAATGCTTATACCGTGGATTATACCAACTAAGTACACACAGTATTACTTGCATCTGTAAAATACATCCCTAGCCACTGTAAATGGCTTTAAGAAATGAGTTTGAAACTATTTTTATTTTACCATTTCTAAGATACAAGCTCCCAGCTATATTACCACAGCATGAGTGCTCATTTTGCCTTCTAATTTTATTTTATTGTTAAGCTGGCAAACAACAGCAATTATATAGCACTGGGTAAGTAGTTTCTCCCTTTGTTTCTTTTTGCCCCTTTCTCTTAATTACTGGTAATATAGGAATGTCCCTGCTCTCTTTCCTCGTCCTTGATCTCACTTGTCTCTCCTTATAACTCTGAAACTGTTGGGTCCCCTGAATTTTTTTTATTTATTTATTTAATTGGCTTGTTTGGGTTTTGCTCATGATTCAGAGCATGGAAAAGTGATATTCAGATATTTCAAAAGTGCAATCATCTTGCAATCCATTCATGCAATGTATTATCCTTATCATCATCATTGGACCCGAGTTCAGATTATCACCAGGCAAAAAAAGTGCTATTTGAGATTACTTTTATGTTGATAATGGATTTCAAAATGTAAGTGTGATGCTACTATGCTTATTTCTGAAGAAATTCATGTAGCATATTATATTGCAGAAATAATCCTGTGGTTGGAAGATATGGTTGAGAAGCTTGAGTTTACAATATGCAAAGAGAATCAAAGTACCTACACAGCAAAAATACATTTTGCAAACTATAGCTGATATAAATCTGATTTAATGTCCATGTCCAAAGGAGAAACTTATCACAGGAGTCGTTATAACTTCCCACTCCATAAATATATTGATGGGATTTTCACTCAGTGAATATGCAGCAACAAGTAGATGTTCTGAAAGAATAAGTGGAAAGATTTCTTTCTCTCTTTCTTTCCTTCCTTCCTTCCTTCCTTCCTTCCTTTCTTTCTTCAGAAAGCAGCTATCTTCTCAGGCATATTTGTCTATTCATGGAACATTCGCAAACAAAGCTGCAGATAAAACTGTCAAATAAATGATTCATCCCAGTATGAAGATCAATCCTACACAAAACTATAAATAGAAAGTTAATTATCCCTCCCCAAAGACCTTGTATTTATATGTAACTGACATGTCACATCCTCCAAACAACAATAAATCAGCAAATGAGAAATAGGAATTAATAATCTACAAAAGGAGGAGTTTGGAATAGCATTACAATATGCTCTAAGGTCATTAGGCAGCCTTCTTCAACCTGATGACTTCTGGACATTTTGATTTCCAATTCACAGAATCCCTAGTCAGAATAGGCAATGGGAATAAAACACAAAGCAGACACAAGGATGGAGCTCTGCAGGATGAAGGGAAAAGCACTAGAGATATTTTTCTCATCACTGGTTCATATCTGTTACTTTAGATAGGAGAATGACCATCAGTGGTCTTTGATGTGCTAACACAGTAGGGTACAATTAAGAGTGTTGTAAATAAAAGATGCCACTGGATCTACAGTTGTCAATAATGGCAATAATTGTGGGGGAGGGGTGTGTTCTTTTTATTGTGTAAATATAATTCTTGATACATTGTTATTTCAGTACAATGATATTTATATAATATACTTTAAGTTGTTAACATTCCATTGTTTAGATACCAAAGTGTGGCATGGTAGCCTAGTGATGAAGATGCTCTCCTCCTACTCAGAATGTTGAGAGTTCAAATCTAGGTACTGGCACATGTTTCTCTTCTACAGCACAAAGAAAAAATATCTACTGCAAACTCCATGTAGGTATCAAGAAAGGCTTCCAGCCAGTAAATGCTCAGCTCCACCCAGTAACCCTGATTCTATCCTGAATTAAGGGATTACAGGATTGTAAAAAGAAAAAAAAAAGTGCATTGGATACAAAAAAGAGGGGGAAAGCTGGATATTCTATCATTATTAATTACGGTGTATTAATTACCAGTGTTATTAAAATTATAATCATAATGTTTTAATTGTAATAATCCAAAATATTTTTGTTTCTTGTGGCTATGAACAGAGAGGATTAAGAACAAATATGAAGTTCTACTAGTCTGCTTCAATAAATGGAATGACTGTTACACTTCTTTGTATGAATTAGTTCTTCAAGCAAGACAGAGGAAAGCAACAAGTGACCTGCGGATCACACATATCTCCAACTGCTTCTTTTGTAGACCACTACCAAATTTAGAGGTAAAACACTTCCACCAAATTAATGGTCATTCTATCTTTTTCAACTAAGATTTAAAAATAAAATTTAAAATAAGCCATTAAAAAAAGGAAAATCCTGGTCTACCAATTTTGATTCCTTTTTATGATGGAGAGGACGGCTGAGAGGAGGAGAGAGCAAGAGCAGTTCAAGCTCCGACTGAACAAGTCATCTCTCTGCAGTGTTTTAGCTAAACGTTTTCTCTCAGGACTGCTTAAATAAATTAACACCCACAATCTTAATTGAGTCAAAAAGCATCTAGCTAATTATGTATTTTTCAGGAAAATTCTCATAATCTAGAAACCTCCCAGATTCTATCCTGGCTCTAGCCTCCACCCGCCAAATCTGGGTGTCTGATCTGGGCATTTTCAAAATAAGTTTCCTAGTACTCTACCAGCTATAAACAAATGTCAGTAAATAAACAACAAAACAGATTTGGAATAATTTTATTACTGAAGTGGAACTGGTCTCTCATTAGTTCAATGCCCATCCAGAATAACTGAAGAACAGAATGAGATGGTGTATTGCAGCCCAGAGAAAGAAAATATGCAGCAACCATTAGGTTACCGAAAATAACTTAATCCTGGAAATAGGAAAGCATGAGAAAGTAAGTCAAGATTGTCTCACCTTGACTCTCCTTGATATGAGGAGGAGGAAAGGAGAAATTCTGTCAGGCTTTCACAATTCTGCTACTATAGCCCATACCAATGAAGTTCTAATATTTCTTGGATGTCCTAACATGGCCTACCTCAAGCGGCTTTTACTTTGATAAGGTAGTAACCAAATACCTGCCCTCACAACAAAATTGACATGAAAAATCAAACAGAGGTATGAACATCTTACAAGAAATCAGGATATAAATATAATCAAAATATTAATACATAAAGAATTTACATCATAGCCTCACCATAGCCTCACTCATAGAGTGAGCCAGGTACAGATACCTACAACTCATCTCCAGCCTCATCTGCATTCTGAACGCCAATTCATTACCCAGTAATTAGTCTGATGTTAACTATCCTTTCAGATCCAATAATCCAAGACTATGATTCCACAAAGCTAGCAGTTTGCACAAACTTTCACATGCCATATTTTAACACCTTCATTTTTTATCTTCAATGGAAAAAACAAACAGTCACACAAGCGTCTTGACACACACACACACACCAACAGATTTGTTCAGTGAAATCAATGGGTCAATCCTCAGAATTTAGAGATTTTAATCCAAACACATTGAAAGGTGGCCAATTTGTAGAAAGCTAATATACAGTATATGGCAAGTTGCACATTAGAGCACATTTACATTCTACATCAAAGTAAATCACTCTCACGCATTCAGATATATATTGCTATATCTGAATCTACTTACATATTATACCTAAATATGCAGAATGATAAGAGGACTTATACTATTTTTCCTTCTTTAAGGCTTCCTTAAAGCTTCTTTTAAAAATAATCAATTTCATAATTATTTTTAAAGGATATTTTGAATTATTTGTATGCTGGCTTGTAGAGAGCTTAATTAATATTGGTGGAATATCACACTATCACCCTACGCTAATATTGATTTTCTCCACTCTCCTTCCAAGTGAACTTCCAAGTTCATTTGTTTAAAACATTTGTATTAAGTATTTGACTCCTTCTTATTTTTTCTTGGAGGGCAGATAGCTTATAAATGTTTAGATAGATGATAAGATAGATGATATAGATAGATATTATTACCATAAAATGCAATCATGATAGAAGGCCAGGCAAACATAATGATCACTTTGTCACAGTGCAACTTCATCAATATATGTAATTATACAAAAGTTTTCTACTTGAAGGAGGAGAAAGAGGGAAAGGCAATCAGACACAGGCTGATGAAATCTGATACACTTAACCTATCTACACGAATTCAAGATATTTTATTATCAGTCTGTAGCACGCCTAAGATTATTTTTCAAATTTTAAACAAGAATGAAGAAAGGAATGTTAACCAGTTACTGATGCTAAGGAACTTTTTTTAGCACACCATATAAGCCATACCTAAAGGCATGCTGTGAAGTGCATTTGAAGCAACTAAAAAAGATCCAAAATCATTTTTTGCACTGAGCATCTCCTTTAGACAATGTAAGGGTGTTTTAAATTAGGATAACTAATTCTATGTGAATTCTACAATAGAAAAAATGCCAATGTGATGCAAGGTTTGGATAGTTGAACAGTTTAATTGGCACCAAACTATTTTAAACCAAGAGCTAACCAGGTAATTTTCCAGCTGTCTTTGTTTTGTAAGTGTTCCTTCTGACTTGCATCCATATGAAATAGGCATTTATTTAAAACACAATTTTAATGAGAGGGGGGGAGTGAGAGAGGGAGATTATCACTGTATACAGTATAGAACTATTAATTTTAAACCTCAGGTCCTAGATCCGTGATGGTGAACCTATGGCGTGCATGCCAGAGGTGGCACAGAGTGCCCTCTCTGTGGGCACGCGAGCCATTGACCCAGCTCAGCTCTGCTGTGCATGCACGCACGCCTCCCACCAACCAACTGGTCTTCAGGTCTCTGCCGCACATGCGCAGGGGTGTGCACATGGGGGGCGCATACACATGCATATAGGGTTGAGGGAACGCACATGTGCAAGGCTCATGCGGGGGGGTCGTGCACATATGCATGGCAGGGCGAGAGTCATGAGCGGGGGCCAGGGGGGTGGGGGGCATGCACGGGGTCGCGTGTGCATTGCATTTGGGAACTCACGCTTTGGGAACTCAGTCCGGAAAAGGTTAGCCATCACTGTCCTAGATAATATGTTACAAAAACTATTTAAAAATTAGATAGCTCATAGTATCTAGGCTGCTATAAAAGTATCAACCTTTATTTTGGTTACAACTAAGTGATTTTGTGTGCACTCTCCCTAAAATAAATATATTTTTAAAAAATAATAACTGTTTTGATCCATGGCTGAAATACATGGCTTAATTCTTAGACTTCTCTAGTTCTATTTCATCTCCTGCCTTTTGTGTTATACTTTTATGAAGTGAATTTGTTTATTCTGTCTAGACTGCCTTTCCCCCCCTCCCCCATCATTCTCAATTTAAATGTTAATAGCCCTAGTTAGCTGGGAAAGATGCAGGTATTCATCCATGATGCCATTCATGACTTGCTTAGATCTTCTTGGCCCTTGGGACTAGTGGTGCAGACATTATGGAGATGAGAAATAATCTACGAAAGCAGACTAAAACAATCTGCTTGGTCTGAGCCTTATTTCTCTGAAGCCACACCTAGAGTTTTTAAAAGTATAATGAGATGTCATTGTAATGTTTCCTCACTGTCTGACTTTTTCATCTCTTGCTTCCCAGCTAAACAGAGCAAATTACAATACACACAAAACCCACTCTCACTGTAAACCAGAGCAGTTACTAAGGGATGATCACCACCCAGAAAAAAAGAAAAAAAAAATACGTAAGAGAACAAAGCAGAATGCCAGGTTGCCTAAGGTCAGCATATGTTATTTTTTATATATAGATGCAGGTGCAGATTTAGAAATAATTACTATAATTTAGCAAGAAATACAGAACATTTCACTATGATGGGAAAGTGCAGCTAGCATATCTTCCATTTACCAGCTTTTTTATCCAGATACTGATGCTGATACGATTAGACTAGAGTTTGCCTTTTTATAAGAAAAAAATCAAGTTTGAATTGAACACCCCTTCAAATATAGGCACCTTCAAATGGAGGATCACCTGCTGGAAAGTAGATCACAGTCTGTCCATAAAGACATAGTTTGCAGAGTTCAAAAAATAAAATAAATAAAATAAAACAATTCCATTTTTTATTCTCAGTATTATCATTAGTAGTTGTTGTAGTAATAGTAGTAGTAATCAACACTTAGATTCAGTCTAAGATTTTAAAAACTTAGTAATTGAAGTCCTAACCAAGGACTAAGAATTATTAAGGTAATGACTAAGAATATAGAGCGTTCCAAGCAAGGTGTGGCTTTTGGGGTAAAATTAGGATGTTCAGGTCTGATAAATTCAAAATTTTCAGATAATGAAGGCGTCCTTTTGCAATTGGTTTAACAGCATATTTCTTTTTCCATAGCATTATTAGGGTTGGTCACCCAATCAGCGAGATATTTGAACTGGATTTGGTATTGTTTGTCCACCTATTGAGTTCTTCCTAAAAACATCTGGGGTAGCCAGATGTTGTTTAATAATAGTAAAAGTAATGCCGCAGGATGTTAGCTGTAAAACTGCCTTTTTCAATTGACTTATGGTGATTTTGTCAGTGGTGCTAATATTAAGTGGATAATCTAGAAACAGACTGTTAGTGAAGATTATTGTTATAAACTCATGACTTGCAAGAGGGGGGTACATAAACTAGTAAATATAGAAGACTTATAGCCTTTCCCTAAATAATATAAACTTAGAATAAAATTAATGCTACTTTAAAAAATACATGAGTTAAATGTCCTTAAATGTATTTTCTCAATTATAAGAAATCCAGAGTATGCAAGAATGCTCATTTCAATCAAAATATTGGTTTCCATTTTTTTCAGAAAGAGAAAATGAGAACAGACACATATGAATGGCTCTTGGTTTGCAGATTTTAGCTGCAGAAAATTGGGCATTACCTTCTTAGGCAAACCTAATCAAAGATGACCTATCAGAACCCCTTCATGGCTAATATTCTAACCTCCATGCATGTAGAAATGGTCCTATGAAAATTGGTATCAGCTGGGAATATCTTTGTTAAACTAGCTAAAGGTTTAAAAGATAGTTAGGAAATATTGAGTTCCCAATATATGTTAATCAGGCAAGACAGTTAAAAAGCCACCCAGAAAAGGAGAGATTTGGTGATACTCCAACTATCAATATTCCAGTTTGTAGTGTCAAGGAGTATCTGGAACAATGAAGGATGCAAAATGAATTTGATTGAGATAGTGCTGGTTTACACCACTGTGTATACTAACAAATCTCAAGTTAATGTAAACTATAGTATTAGATGATACAAGTCA